AAATCTTGAGGTTCCAGATGGGGCTCCAGGGAGAAAATATAATGGGGGTCAAGCCTGGAGGTTACATTACAACAGTTATTGAGCTGAAATGCATAGTATATTTAATTTCCTTGACAGCTTTAATTGGCTGGTTTAAACCTAGTAAGCATCTGGGGAAGGCAGATGTCCTACCATCCAGAGCTTGCTGAAGTTAACTTTTTTTCTTTGCAAAAGATAGGATGACCAGGGATACCAAGAAGTTGAGTTTGGGAGAAGAATGTGTGCATTTCTAAGAACTCCCGAATAACTATCATGCAGCCAGGAAGGAGGCTGCTGGAAGCCACTGGGAACCAGCCCTTTGTGGTCTGTAACAATGTAGGAGCCGTTAGCTGAAGCAGGCTTTAAACAGGGTTGGACAGCAAGGTGGAAGGGCACAGAGGGGAGAAAGGTTGGTGGGGAGGTAAAAATGAAGATTAATTTTGCGTCAGGCTGACTCTGGCTATGCAAAATCATTTTATATTTAAGTCCTGGATATTCAAAAAAGTAAATCGAAGAAAAATCTTCTGTACCACCTTGGTACAAGAGGGCTGTTAGTGCATTCCCATTTCTACTTTTTTGATTTGCCCTGTGGGTAGGATGTCTTCTTCTCCCATGTGTCTTAAGTCTTTACATTTCTCATACTCTGATAATGGCCCACCTGAGTCATTTTCTGGTTTTAATGACCCCTGTTAATACTGTGACCTGCCTAGCCATGTCCAGAAAGGCAAGAAGGTGTCATGAAGCGACTTCAGGGGCATCTAGGAGCACAGCTTGGCTCTCTTCCTGCTGCCAGTTGTGTGTATGCGTGTGCGCGGACGTCTGTGCGTGTGTGGACATTTGTCCAGCTGCCACCCAGGCTTACCTGTGCCAGAGGAAGAGGCACACTGAATGGGTATCAACAGAAATAACACTCAAACACTTGCATTTCTGTTTGAATTTATTTCTGGTATTTTCTCTCCACTCTTCTACCTCCCCCACTTCCACCCTCAATCTCTTTGTTTAGGCAAATGATGATTACGATGGGTCAATAGCTTTCCTAAGCACATCCTTGCTGACAGCAAGGGGGGAAGGCACGACTGATTTTTTTTTTTTTAAACACTTAGCATATTAATCCTTCCCCTCAAATTGAGAATTAGTTGTGGTATGATTGCTAACAAATTTGCTAACAAATACAAATTTTTAAGAAAAAAAAAGTCATCTCTGGAAGGCAATGGGTTTATAATTAGTTTGCAAAAACAGGTGCCTTTCCCTACATAATTAACTTCAGGCTGCTTTCTTCCTCTGGCCATCTCTCTGTCCTCTCTTCTCTGAAAACTAGAGACTGCAGTCTTGCCCTTCCACCCAGGAAACACATCAGGGTCCTGCCTGCCTTAAAAGCACATGTTCCCGCCAACCCGGGGCTGCTCTGTACTGTATCACCCAAGTCACTGCCCTTGAAAACAAACGGGCGATGCAGTAGTTACTTCCATAAAAGTAAATCGACATAATTTCATCAAGTCTTCTTTCCAACTTAACAGGGCATGAAACTAGTCTGCTGAATGAGGGCACATGGTGTCATGAGTATTTGAGTTGAGCGCATCAGCAGTATCAGCAGAAAGGGAATTGTTCATCGGCTTAGGTCCTTTACCCATGAGAAGAAGAAAAACCAAAACCAAACAACAAACAAAAAGATCCTTCTTGCTGGATAGCAGCTCATTGTCTAAATGAAGGTTAGCTCATTTGTCTTTTTTATGTTTCAAGTTTTCCCATTAGAACACATATATGGAAATGCTGTCATTAGGCCCTTCGGTCTTCCGGAGGCTCACAAGATCTTCCCACCAGCATCAAAAGCATGAGGACGCCTGCCTTTTGGGTTATGTGTTACAGACTTGACAAATAATTGCAAGAAACAAACTTTCATCACAGAGTTAAAATATTTAATGACAAAATCAGAGTTAACTGTAATCACGAATCATAAAGCAGGTATTACTTGTCTCTGAAAGAAACAAAAATTATATTTGACATCCTAGAGAAACTTCTGAAGAATTAATAACTGTACAACAGACAGCAGCAGTGTTACGATTCTAAAAATGAAAAGCAAAACCTATCTTTATTATCCCTTATTGAGGGCATTCTGTAAATATTTTTACATAAATACACAACCTTTGTTAGCCACAAAAGTAGTAGTATTAAGACAGATTTCACTGTAATTGTAAGTCTAACACAATCTTTATTTTTTCAGAGCTTAAAAAAAGTTAACTACTGATCTTGTTACATTTTACAAATACATTCTTTAATATGAAACATTAACCTGAATAACTGTATACATCCTGTATGCAGATTATCTAATACTAGGTGAGGACTACTACAGCTATGTTCCAGAAAGAAATGGTAATACTGGGAAGCTTCTTTTCTCTATGTGTTGTTGGTACAATTGAGGAAGTCCTTCACAGGGAGAGAGTATCCCAAAAACTCATAATGAAGTGCAGAAGTGAAACAAATAAATTTACTGTCTTCTAGCAGCTTCACCCAACGAATTGGTCCCAAAGAATGTGACATTTTAGCAATTTGCTCTAGGTTAGACTGTATTAATGTTTTGTATCGCAGCACCTTCTATGAAAGGATAGCAAAGAACTTCACATGTGTCATCACGGGGCAGCTCTGCAAGAGGTCAGGAGGTAGAGGAAAGGCAGGGGGGGCTTGCTGTTCTGGCCTTGCTAGGGTGTTGACCCCAGGGAGGTCAAGGGCATTGCTGGGCCCTGGAAGCGAATCAAGAGAAGGAGCTAATAGAGGTGTTCTTCTAAACCAAGCTATTTCCACTAAGACTGAAGTCTAAAAGGATAAACAGAGAGTGAAGCAAGAGGGCATGACGTAGAATGCTTACATTTCATGAAGAGTAGCTATCACAATTCTACCAGGGAGCAAGAAGCTCATATTTCACAGTATGCTTATGACCTCCTCCTCTGCTACTTTAGAAACAGCTCTGCAAACACCCTTGTTAGATAGTTGGCAACAATTTTATTTCTGAGTTTGGCTGATTGTTGGGAGGCTTAAGATTTACCCTTCCAATTATTCATACCAACTATCACTCTCTGAAGCTGGAATCCAATTTCAGAAGATGAATATATCCATGGGCATGTGTGTTTTCTGAATGGAGGTCTACAAACAAAACCCATTTCAAGTGATATTTTGGGATTTTCTTAGAAATTAGAAATGCTTCTAATGGTACTCATCAGATAGCAAGTTCCTTGCTTCTTTGACCTTTTTAGACATTGAAAGAAAAGTTCAAAATATTATAGTAAACTTACATAGTTCACCATATTAATTTCACAGAGTATTTTCTTGAACTGGACCATCTTCCTAAGAGGATTCAGAAATTTGTCTCCAGCAAACTGCATCTCCCTTTTGATAGGTACTAAGATAATTTTTTTCCCTATAGCTCAACTTTGTCTCCCAGGGAATGCTTTATCAGGAGAAATTAAGCTATCTAAATCAGCATAAATAATCCCCAAGTCATCTTGTGCTGCTCTGTAAGAGGCTACAATGCACGGACTCAGTCGGCTCAATGGGTAGGAGGATCAGAAAGCGGTCCTGAAGATTCACGAAGCTTAAAAATCAATGCACTACAGTGGGAGGCTGGGACTGTGTCTGGGATATGCGGCTTGCCTCCTTGTTTCACAAAGACAAAGCACAGCTTTTATGTTTAGCATTTAACCCTCAAAGAAAACTCCCAGACTCCGAACCTGGCATTCTCTGGAATAATGCAGAATCAGGAGGTGTGGGTACCAACTTTATTCAATCTGACTACAGTTATGTAAAGGCTTCACGGCCATGTTTCATGTCAGCCCTTGCAAGTTGCAACGGCCATGAAATATAATTTGTCAAAACACCTGCACTTTAAATTACATTAAATAAATAGACAGCAAGTAACAACATCAGAGCCTCCAAAAATCAGATACCGAGAAACTGAAGGCCATTTCCCAAGGATATGGTGAGGGTGTTTCTAAAATAGGCATGACTTTGCAAATAGAAAAGATTTTAACTGTAGTATCTTTTCACATTATCATTTACACAGACCTTTATCTGGACAAATCAATTCTTGATAAAAATCCAAGCTCTTTTCAATATTGGCTGCCATAATTTGGGGCAATGACAAAAGAAAGAGACATTCATGAATGCACAGAGGTTTTTAAATAGGCTTTTCCTTATGTCTTTGATCTCAAGTTTTTCCCCTTCCAATGATAACTGCAAATAATCAGCACAGAAACAAGTACTGGAAGTATTTAAACTGCAGCTCAGAAAGTAGATTTCTATCTGTCATTCTGATTTTTTTTTTTTTTTTTGGAATGCTGGTGATGGCTCATGCAAAAGATTATGACATAAAAAGCAAAATCTAAGACTGCTGTTTCCCCTGATAAATTCAATTGTTTGCCATAATACAGACTGGTGTTTCAAGATACGGAATCTTAACCTTCAAATTAAGAGTGGCTTGGAGACTGAGAGAAGCAATGACAAAGTGACAAAGTCACTGCTTGATTTCCAACCAGGAACAAGAACATCTGATGTCACCACATGAAAAGGTCTTCTGGCTTAATATCACATTTTTTTTTTTTTCAAAGTAAATCTCTACACCCAAAGTGGGGCTTGAACTCACGACCCCAAGATCAAGAATGGTGTCCTCTACTGACTGAGCCAGCCAGGCGCCTCTCTGGTTTAATATCAAGAAAAAAAGACAACAACATGTTGCCAGTTTAGACCCAGCTCAGCATAACATTTGGTCCAAATTCCATATCCAAACTACTGAAAAAAAAAAAATTAGAGAAGACACATACGAAGACTTATGTCTATACAGTTAAAGAAAATAAAAAAACCAAACGAAGCTGATGCCACTGCAGCATTTCTTAGCACAATCCTTAGTGAAATGTATAAACACTACGTCTTTTCTTTCGTATTAACGTCTGAAAAGGAAAAGCAAAAAAACCTAAATGTCCATATACTGGAGAAAAAAAAAAAAAAAGCAGAGGTCCGGAATTCTTGTAAAAACTGCTGAGCAAACTCTTCCATTTCTCTCGAGAGGGTCATTGCCGCGACAGGGAGTGTCTCAACACTTGTGCTTCATGGCAAGCTAAGGAGAAAGAGGGATGGCAAAGTTAAGCATTGTTAGCACTGGGGAGAACTCACCGCGCTGCTCCCCTCCCCAAATCCATGATGAGAGGCAGCACCGAGGTTTTACTCGCTGTGGCGGATTGCCATATTATTCCCAGTGGCATCTAGTGGATGTGCAACATTTTCTCCAAGAGCCCACAGAGCACTGCCTCTGTTATTCCTCCTTAACAGTGGTTTCCTTGGTGTTCCGTGTCCTGCAGGGGGAGTGCGCTATGCGGCTTTCCCGCCCTCCACTGAAGGGGCAGCCAAGGGCACAGGCAGAAGGAGGGACTGACCTAGGAACAGGTAGGAGTAGAACCCAGGTCTCTGCGCTGCTGGGTTACTAGTTATTCAGAAAGACCAACACTCCTCAAATATAAGTATTTACTGGTATCTTATTAAGTATTAAAAATCAACTGTAGAAAAACAATTGGCATTAATCCACTCATTAATCCAGCCTGGACCTCCAACCAAGTTCAAAAGCTCTTGACGATGAAGCGGTGTTACTGACGAGATGCTGAACAAGAGACCGAAACCAGACCTCCATTTACCACTCCTCCTGCTGGTATTCGAGAAATAGTTGTCTTGCTGAAATGTTTGACCTTTATGATGGGAACGCTAATACCACTGTGTCATTCAGTAACTTCCCAAGCCCAGCTAGAGCCCATGATGATATACTGAAGGCAACACAGGCAGGTATGGAACGTTAAGTTAAATCTGACTTTGCTTTTCTTAGATCCTTTCCAAGGAGCCCATACCCTGAGATGACCCTGAAGGCAGAGCTGAGCCTGAACTGTAATTCCTCACGTGTCCAGCCTCTGGCATTAGGGAGGGGATTGGGACTGGGAGTAGGAGACAGGTTCTGCCACTCAGAATGGTTTGGAGCAAATAGCCGGTGGTTCTCTATGGGCAACAGCTCTGGAGAAAGCCTTGTCTGCTTCACGACCAAGTTCTTGGTCCTTAAAGAATGCTCCAGGGAGCCCTCTGATTCCACACAGTGGCAGTGGCCATCTTCTGGGCAGTGTCAATGACCCATCTCTCCTGTATAACCCAGGGCCTTCGGGTCCACCTTCCCTTTCCTTGATGTCTTCAAGAACAAAGTCAAGGGGCGCCTGGGTGGCTCAGTGGGTTAAGCCGCTGCCTTCGGCTCAGGTCATGATCTCAGAGTTCTGGGATCGAGCCCCGCATCGGGCTCTCTGCTCAGCAGGGAGCCTGCTTCCTCCTCTCTCTCTGCCTGCCTCTCTGCCTGCTTGTGATCTCTCTGTCAAATAAATAAATAAAATCTTTAAAAAAAAAAAAAAAAAAAAAAAAGAACAAAGTCAAACCCGGCGGCTGCCACCTCAGACCACCTGCGAGAGCAGCAGACACTTCCTCTGCAGCTGCGGCACCAAGCCAGGTCAGCACGGGATGGAGGGGGACGTGTGGACCTAACCCTCGGGCTGCTAAACTCAGCTCTCCTGGAAGAGCTCCCCATGCCTCTGCCTGGGGAAGGCAGCCTCAGTGAGACCTCTGCAGACCCTCTGCGGGGCGGACACCAGGACTGTCAGCTGTCGGACGGTGTGTGTGAGCGTGCTCCCTATGCTGCCGGGCTAAGCGCTGTGTATTTTTGCTCAGAAAGGTGGAGTGGCTAAGGACTCCTGACCCCGGAGAGTTTATGGTCCACAGACATGTGGGGTGTCTGACCTGTTCCAGGGCCCTGTCCCCCGCAGTCCCTCCACTGTAGGGACTCCACTTCTTGCTCCGTCTCCAGTTTTAATACATTATTCAGCAATGTGGACCATTCCAATCAACACAGAGCTGTTAAGTGTTGTGCATAATGAATACCCAACATAAATATTTGATCAGCGCTGCTGTCCTGTTATTCACGGAGCTGTTAACCTTCAGCTAATGGGCTCATGCCAATTCACCCACAGTCATTAATTTTCAACAACAACTGTACCACTGCTCGCACCAGGCCCTGGTTACTGCTACCGTGGGTCTTGGATGGCCCTGAACGGAGCCCCTGCCAGGTGGGGCCGTGGCCAGCTCAGCATCGCAGAAATATGATGGGACTGGATCCTTAATATTTAAAGTATCTTTGCAGAAAGTGGCATCATTTCCACGCTACCTAAGGTGTTTTTGTTTTTGCTGTTGTTTTTTAAAATTCTCTGGGAGTGAGAAGTTTTGGAATATGGAAGGCAGGGTGTTGCTGCTCCTCTTCTCCAAATTTGCTGCATGACCTTGAGCCCTAAACTCAGAACTGCTCCATACCTCCATCTTGTCATGTTTATAAATATCCTCTCTAACTCAAATGCTTATGGATCAGGTTAGATGTCAGAGTTCTTACAGAAGAGGAGATAAAAATTTCCTTCGGGTGTATTTTGTTTTCTTACTATCTCATGGAAAGCTTTCTCTTTCAAAGCTGTGTAAATGACTCCCTCTAAACAGTAATAAATTGTTACTCATATGGGGGGAATTTTAAGAGGCCTGGACTCTTGAGGTCCCTTCTGGTTCAGGGACCCACAGGAAGCGGGTGACTATAGTGGGGACAGAGGCAGCCACTCCCTGCTGGTGAGAGAAATGCCACTTACTCCCCTCTCCCCCTGCAAGCACGAGCTTGTACAGAACAGGGCAGCTCAGTGCTCCTTCCTCTGAGAACTGTCATCTGAGGCTGCCTGGGTGTGGGTGCTGCCTTCGCCTGTGGGCTCACTGCCTGGGGCGGGTGTCCGAGCACGGCATACACGGCAGCGTTCAGCTTTCTGGGGCAGTGGAGAGTGAGCAGGCCCATTCTGGGGTTGCGCTGTATTCCCTAAGGGCTGAGACCGGGCCAAGCCCACAGCTCAGGAAGGAACCATGCTTCCTCAAGGAGGCCGAATAGAGCTGGGGGAGAGGGGGTGCAGGAACATTTTCTATCTGCTCTCCTGGAGATGAGCACCCAGGTATCTTGGTGGTGGGGCTGTGTGAAGGTGGTCCACTCACTGATGTACCTGGGTCATTGCAGGAGTCCTGGGAAAAGTCAGAAAGATCCTTTTGACTGCAGTGTAGGAAAGTGTGCCATAGTCAATCGGGGAACACGGAGGAGCCATCCCCTGGTTTTGCTGTGGTCTGCGAAGGGTGCTGGCACATACCCCCTGTCTCAGCCCGGAAACACAGCCCACTATGAATCAACAAAGCTGCTTGTCTGGGGCGGGGGTGGAAAGCTGGCTTCTGCCTCTGAACGCTGTCCTCACCAGCAGGTCTGGTGGAGGCTTGGCTGGGGAAATGACACCTTCACGGTCAGGCCATGCCAGTGGGTTTAGATCTGGAGTCCTATAGTCCCTGGGAAAAAGCCACACCTTAACTAAAGAGGTCACTCTCCTTGTGAGAATGCTGCCAATGCTGGTGCTTCACAAGCATACATCCCAATTTTAGAAAACCACGTCTGGCCAGGACAGTGTCTAGCTCCTGCTCCCTCACATGCACTAATAGACACCAGCAACCCCTTCACCTCCCTCTTAGAACACCCACAGGCAGGGAAGCCAAAACCAGGGCAGACTGCCCCCCTCTACCCTCCATCTCTCCTGGAAATAGGCTGCTGGCTGGCACCAATCCTTCCAGAGGTCAAGGCCAGAGGCCCCTTGCCTCTGGTGGCCTAATCAGTTTCTGCTGACAGGCCCTGTTTCAAGGGTTGTTCTGTGTTTAGAAAGTATTGAATTTAGTAGAAGCCCTGCCCACCCCACTTTGGGGGGCACAAAATCTTCATCTCCAAGCCCTCCCCATCCCTTTGTTGGGGTCCTCAATCACATTTCTCCATCCACCTACAGTGCTCGTTGTAGGATGGTATAAGGCAGGTTCAACAGAATCATTTTCATGGAAATTATTATCGCCAGTATTAATTCAGACTTGTATATGTCGGGTATTGTGATCATAGATTTATAGGTTTGAATTCATTCAATTCTCTCAATGCCCTAGGAGACGCCAACTGTTATTAATTATCCTTATTTTACTGATGAGGAAACTGGGGCTTAGAGAAATTAGGCACTTGCCCAAGGTCACTGGGATGGTAAATCAAACACAAGATGCTAACCACACCAGACTGCCTTCCCACACACCCAGCACACTTGGCCACAACATCAGGGAAACAGGGCAACTGGGGCCAAGAATCATGGCCATCTGGTCAGGTTATCCACCCCAGTGTTTGTACAACCGCCTCCGAGGGGGACGCCCACATGGGTGATCTCCAGGTATTGTCTACTCCGCCTTAGGAAGAACGATTTCACAGACTTCCTTGGTAACCCAGCTCATGATCTCAATCATTCACCTAAAGTCTGGTTTTAGCAGAATCTTATCAGTGCACTGCTGAATGCTCTATTTTGTATGGCAAGGTTCAAACTGCCTGTACTATTACCCACCCCTCCAAGACTTGAAGATAATTAAAAAATAACTCCCTTTAGCCTTCCCTTCCCCAAATCAACACTTTGACTGTTTCTCCAGACTTCCACTACCGCCCCTCTGCCAATCACAACATTTGCTGTGGTTATAAATGAAGCCAGGGTAGGAATTCTAGTGTTCCCATCTCATCCTTATTTCTGTCTCACAAAGGCTGGAGAAGGAACCTTAAATATGTACCTTATGGAAATCTTAAGTCTGAGCTCCCTCTTTCCGTGACATGTGGTGAGCAAGGGTCTGCCCTCGAGCAGGGCCAACTGCGTTTTCAGCCAGATCTGGCCAGGTCTTCTCCAGGGAAGCCCACATGGGCCCTGGAGGCAGGGGTGTGATAAGACCCCAAGAGGACAGAGAGCTGATGACACAAGGAAACAGATCTGGGTAACAGGGGCAGGACAGGAAGGCAGGAAGCATCCCCTGGGGGTTCAGATCCACAGTTTGCCCTGGGAATGAACCCCTGGGAGAGGCCAGCTAGACTCAGCTAGGGGGACCTTTCTTGTCACTTTTCAGGTGGTTCTATTCTCGCTTCTTCAGCAGAGCTGGGATTTTCTGTTGAAGTAAGTTAACTTTTTCCCCAAAGGTCACCTGAAAAGCCTATCTGGAAGGCCGGATTGTGAGTCGGAGATGCCAACAGTTATCAGCAGGGGTTGTTCCTGGAAACCTAAATTCCAATCCCTAGCCAGACAACTGCCCTCTGACCTGAAGCACAAGATCAGTCGTAAATCGTCTTTATCACCTGACTAACAGGGCTGCTCTTTCCTTTGGTTTGCAACTGCCTCAGAGAGCTGGCTGCCAATAAAAACTACCCTTTCCCCTGCTGAAAGGCACATTCTTCGGGAGCGTGTGAAAGTGCACGTGTGTGCCTGTGGTCACGTGGGAAATGCCATGACCCGGATTCAGAGCAGGTAGGAGCCCTGTGGGCAGCTCTGCACGAGTCAGGGCAGCCCTGCACGAGTCAGGGCAGCCTTCGAGATCCAAGCCCTCTTGCAGAGGGGCAAGCAGCCCTGAGGTACCCTGGGTGTGGGGGACTAGAACTTGCTTTTTATACAGCGAAGAGATAAGAACAGGATGCTGGGCTCATGACTGTGACCGGAAAAGGATGGCAAGGAAAAGTACACAACGACAGACCCAAGTCCTTTTTCAAGCATTGGCCACAGGGGGAGGGATATTCGTGGATCTGACTTCTTCCACCCCCATTCTCTTCCCTGAAACTTGAGCCCTAAAATTCTGGGCAGGAACTAAGGATGGCCAGCATTTCCCAAAGATCCAGATCCATGGTCAGAGAGAGACATTAGCAAGGAAAGAAATGAAGAAATGGGTACATGAAGAAATATTTTATGATTCTGGTACTTACTAAGCAGCAGGATGTATTGGGGGGAGGGGAGGGCTTGATTTTATATCTTCCACTATGGGAAATGCACCGAAAAAAGTTTCTTGGAGCCAAAGCTCCCTGAGCTTCCAGAGTGGAGACCTCCGCGCCCCTGTGGGACCCACCTTGTGTGCAGTCTCCGCGAACTGCTGGGCGCTGTTCTTCATGTCTTCTGTCTTCTCCTCTGCTCGGCCTAACCGCTCCCCGCGCTCGTTCAAGGCCTGGCTGGCTTTCTGTACGGCGCTGGTCACGCTGTCGGCCGCCGAATGGAGGATGCTGTTTCCTGAAGAAGCATAGCAAGAGCATGAGGGGCTGCTGGGGCTGACCTCTGGCAACAGAGCCTGTGAGGGCTGGGCACCTGCAAGGGCAAGGGGGTTCCCTCCAGGGAAGCCTCGGGTACCTAGGAATCCGTCAACATTTCTTGGGAGCTTGTTTAACTGCGCATGTGTAGGAAGAGGACCCACAGCCTGCAGGACTCGGGCAAATGCCGATGGCTCTCTCACATCCCTTTCATTAACGTAGCCCTCACGACCATTCTCCTGCCATTGTGTCTGGGGAGGGTCCAAGGGACGGGCTATTTGGATTTAGGACTGGGCTTGCAAAAGCAAATGGAAATCCTGACAAATTTATACAATTAGGCAAGTTCAATGAGATATATTTGGGTCTTACGGACATATCCTCTTCACCTGAGGTTTAAGTGAAATCCCACCAGAAAAGGGGAGCAGAACTTTTTCTGAGAGAATGCTCTGTATTTCTTTTAACTCCTCCCTTCCATTTTACCTTGTCATCCTTAGAAGCATGGCTTCTTATGAGAAGCTGTGAATCGGTCTCAGAGTTCAGAGGAGATGTGCCAGCTCACAACCTTGAATCTTGAGCCATGGCTTGGTTGGCTGGGCCCTCTTGGCTCTGATCTCCAGTTTATGAAATATGGGGCCTCAAAACTGCACTTAGCCAGGAGGTAGAAAATGGTGACAGAAACCAGCCTTAGAAGGAACTGAGCATTTCCAGATTCACGAGAATATTGAAAACCACCACATTTCAAAGGATTGTGTATCCCTGACATCCCATTTGCCAGGATGGAAATACAGAATTCAACAGTGGAGGCATAACCCACTGAGAACAAGCAACTTGCAAAATTATAACCCAAGAAAATTTATAGCTCTATTTTGTTAACATTGAGTGAAAGATAGTTAATAGCATTTTAGGTAATAGCCTTACGTCTTTGAATAAGTTTATTACATCATTTAACTTTGTACTTGAGATGGATGTATCTAGCCATAGACAGCTTTTAATAGAAATGTAATTTCCCTTGGTTTCAGCTTGTAAAGGCTTCTTAATTTCTCCTCTGTGGGAAAAGTCTGTGGTTTGTGGAACAGAATCTCAGGCAAAGAAAGTGCCTGGTGCCTACAAAGGACTTGTAAATTGTTTCCCATTTTTCTTCTTTAGGAATAGATTTTTTTTTTTTAAAGATTTTATTTATTTATCTGACAGAGAAAGATCACAAGCGGGCAGAGAGGCAGGTAGAGAGAGAGGAGGAAGCAGGCTCCCTGCTGAGCAGAGAGCCCGATGCGGGGCTCGATCCCAGGATCCTGAGATCATGACCTGAGCCGAAGGCAGCGGCTTAACCCACTGAGCCACCCAGGCGCCCCTAGGAATAGATTTTAAGGGCTTCTACTATGTGCTAAGGGGAGGAGAATGGGGGTAACTTAGTATTACTCAGTTGTATTAAGCACTGCATGAGCCAAGATAAATCAACACAGATTAATGGGAACTAACAGAGATGAGGCTCTGGAGGAAACTGGTTGAATATAAGGATTGAATGGAAGGTCTAGGTCTTTAGAACAGATGGAGGAGGAGGAGAAATCTTGGCCCCACTCTTTTTTCACATCATATTCATGACTATGATGATAGCCCATGTTAGACCATTCCCTAAGATGTGAATAGCATTTTGCAATCTTAAGCACCTTGACAAATATCTCATTTGACTGTCACACAAATTCTTCTGAGAAGACTGAGACTAGTTAAGGTTAAGTGGCTTGCACAAGATCATATCCCTAAGGAAGTGGCATGGGCAGCACTGGAACCTGATTTTCCAATGACTTTTCTTTATTCTGTAGCTTTCTCTTTGCAGGTATGGTGTAGGTTGTGGGAAGCAAGACAAGAAGACAGAATTGTGAGCAGACTAGTGGAGACAGATTTGACAGGTTGTTTCCCAAGGTAATGTCTGACTATTTCTGTCCTTAAGGTATTCCTCTTGGTCAATGAAGAGTTAGTACCCATGCCATATTGTAAGTCAAGTGGTCTTGGGAAGAAAGAGGCCAGTGGGATGGAATGGGAAGATGGAAAGGACTGGAAGGGGCAAAGGAGTGGTCGGAACACACTAAAATTTTCTCCCTTTCATGCTTCCTTTCACATACCCACAGCTTAGCCACCAGAGGCTAGGGAAAATATGGGGCAGGGAATTTGCGACTTCACAGCCAGGAATAGCTGTATTAAACGAAGGGATTTTAGAATAAGCTACCATAAAATTAGAAGGGTATGTAACTAGGACTTGTCTTTTCCCATCGAAATTAACCCTCATGTCCTCCAAGTTAGACACCTCTGTGTTTTTGGAATAAGCCATATTGTTTCTTGTCATGACTTCCTGAATCTTGTACAAGATATCAGGTAACACTGCATCCAGTTTTATATGATACTGTTTAGCCAATGGGCATTATTACTAAGAGAGAACCAAATGCTGTCTTCAGTATTCGAAGATGACACTGATTACCACAATCAATAGAAAACCCACCTCCAGTTATTTTCAGACATGAGGATGGATTTGAACAAATCCCAGGGCCTTGGTTGAAATGACCTCTCTCTCTTGGTTTCAATTCTAACCAATTTCAGGCTCAGTGAATAAAGTCTTATCACCTTTGTCAAGCTTCAGGTCAACTCCACACCCTCCTTCCCCTCAACTCTGTAAGACCTGTCTATATCCTTCGTAGGCACTTACTCAAGGACATTCATAGGCAACTTTTCTACCTCATTTCTTCACCGGTAGATGATAAATTCCCCAAGGCCACCATTTCATTATATTGGCCATTCCCTAAATCTTGAATCTTCCTCCTCTTTACTCAGGTCTCTTGCTTGCTTACTTCCTTCTCTCTGAGATCTTGCTAAAGCTGCAGTTCCGGGCTTCTATCCTTGACCCTCTTCTCTCTCTCATCTATAGACTCTCCATAGATCAATTTACTCAACTCATGGCATGACTGAATTCCATCTTTCACTAGGTTGTGCTGCTAAGGTCTGGCCCTGTATGTTTTCTTACTTGACAACTCCAGTGACCCAAGGTCACCTGGAATTCATTATGTCTAAACCTGACCCCACTGTCTTTCCCTTCATGCCTGCTTTTCCTTTGGGGTCCCCAGCTCAGTGAACAACCCACACTATCTGCCCAGTTCCTCAATTCAGAAATCTGGTGGTCCAGTCTATATCCTCCCTTTTACCCCGTAGAGCTAAAGCTCTCCTTTTACATAGCTCTCTACTTTGTTCTCTTCACCATCTTCACTGTTTCTGCATTGACCTAGTTCCTCCTACTCTCAGAGTTCTAGCAATAGCCTTTTGTCTAGCTGTCTCCATACCTTTTTTTTGGGTTCATCTTCCACACTTTCATACTAAACTTTTAAAAAGGTGAATCTGTTACCATCTCCCCACTCAAAAGATAAAACTGAGACTTTTTTTTTTTTTAAATTGAGACTTCTGCCTTGCTTTTCTCTCAGCTCATCTTTTATGCCTTGTCAAATTACCTATATTTGTACAGATGTGTCAGGTTTCTTTTACTTATATGCCTTTACATTGTTATCTCTGCCTGGAACCCTGCTTCTCATCTTAGCCTTCCTAAAGTGGCTCCATCAGTACCCTTCAAACTCCCTCTTAGGGAACCTTGTCATGTCTAGCCCACCCTATAGCCTGGCTGCTGCTAACACACACATTATCTTGTGTCTATTTCAAATGGTGCACCTACAGGGCGCCTGGGTGGCACAGTTGGTTAAGCAACTGATTCTTGATTTTGGCCTAGGTCATGAGCTCGGGGTTATGAGATTGAGTCCCTCACTGGGCTCCATGCTCCGTGGGAAATCTGCTTGAGGTCTCTCCCTCCTTCTCCTTCTGCCCCTCCCCATGCACATACACTCTAAAATAAATAAAAATCTAAAAAAAAAAAAATCTTATAATGGTGCATTGACTTCATGCATGTAATGTTGGCTATCTAGGGTAAACTTCTTGAGGGCAGGGACCATGTCTTTTTCATTTCTGTATTCCTGATCCATGGCACAAAGCAGATCATAAATGTTGGTTGAGAGGTAGGAGGTATGTATCATCCTTTCTATGATTTCTTCATGGCTTGGCAGTGGGTTGGACATATAACTGATGCTGTCACAAGATCTGACAAGTTACTAAAATTCTAAACTTGCCAAGTGACTAAGGGATCAGTTTGTGTCTAATGGAGTTAACTATCTCGTTTAGCAATTGTGCCAGGAATTCAGTGGAGTTAAATAAAAAACAAAATGTAGGGGCGCCTGGGTAGCACAGCTGGTTAAGTGACAGGCTCTTAGTTTTGGTTCAGGTCATGATCTCAGGGTTGTGAGACTGGGCCCCATGTCAGGCTCTGTGCTCTGCTTGGAGTCTGCTTCAAATTCTTTCTCCCTCTCCCTCTGCCCCTCCTGCTCGTGCTCTTTCTCTCTCTCTCTCCCTTAAGTAAATAAATAAATCTTAAAAAACAAAAACAAAACAAAAAAACCCCAAAATGTAAAAAGGGGAATGCATTTGCTATAGTAAAAGGCAAGGGGAGAAGTTGGTAAAGAATGTTGTTACTAGCCTTAAAACAAACTGTAAGTTATAAAAATAACTGACATTAAATAGCTTAATAAATAAATCCAATGTAAAAATAACAGTTTCCTGAACAGTTGCTATGTTTTAGGCACTTACTAAGCCTGCCTCTCACAACCACCTTACGTGATGGGCATTACACGGTCCCACTTCTATCAATGGGAGCACCAACATCAAGAGAGAGGCTTAGCAATGTGCCAAGGATCATGCAGTAAAGAAATAGCACAGCTAAATTTTGAACCCAGGAAGCCCACCTCCAGAGCCAGTTCTCTTCCTCATTGTGTTAAATGGGTTCTCCATAGGAATTTTCTTATATGAGATTAATGACACAATCTGTATTAACTGTGTGGAAGAAGACCTCAGGGCAGTAGTTCCTCAGTCATCCCTTAAAAATCACAATACAAAACAAAATAT